TGATTTCAAACAACAAAATCCCCATCTATAATATATGAGGGGTGTTCATTAAAGATTTCCCCTGACCCACTTCCTATTGACCTAGTGGAATGAAACTTGGCATAGGTATTAGTCTTTCTCCACATAGGAACCACCAAGAGTGACACACTTCTCCCATCGTTTTATGCAACCATGGAGACCTCGCTTGTAAAAGCCCTCATTTTGCGTCTCAAACCAGGACTTGACTTCAGAAATCAGTGTTTCATCATCTGTGAAACGTTTTCCCTTCAAAAATGACTTCATGGTTGGAAAGAGGTGGAAGTCAGATGGTGCAAGGTCAGGAGAGTAAGGAGGATGTGGAAGGATTTCATAGCCACAGGACCGCGCTTCTGTCTGGGCAACATGAGAGTTGTGTACTGGAGCATTGTCTTGCAGGAGACAGACACCCTTGGTCAGCATGCCACGCCTCTTAAGCTTGATAGCGTCCCGCATTTTCCACAGCAGTGAAGCATAATAAGCTCCTGTAATTGTTGTACCCTTTGCCAAGAAATCCATCATCACTACTCCATGCTGGTCCCAAAACACCGTGAGCATGACCTTGCCTGCAGAGGGTTGGATGCGTGCCTTCTTTGGGGACGGTGACTCCACATGCTTCCATTGCATCGACTGAACTTTAGTCTCAGGATCATAGTGATGGACCCATGTTTCATCCTGTGTGATAAGTCTGTCAAAAAAGTTTGCCTGGTTTTTTTGGCACATGTCCAAAAGATCCTTTGAGCAATTGACTCGTTCCTGCTTTTGGAAAGGTGTGAGCAACCTGGGAATCCATCGTGCAGACACCTTATGCATGTTCAAATTGTCATGGATGATTTTTTCCAAAGACCCTACACTGATCTTGACATCTTGTGCTAACTGGGAAACAGTTATACGTCGGTCTGCCAAAATGGCGGTCTCCACTTGATGGATAGTGTCCTCATCAATGGCTGAATGGGGGCGACCAGGAATGGCAGCTGTTTCCACAGATGTCCGACCACACTTGAACAGGCTATGCCAGTGTTTAACAACGTCATATGATGGGGCATCTTCCCCATAAGTTGCTTTCATTTCATTGAAAGTTTCTTTTGGTGTGCGACCTTTCAAATATAAAAACCTAATCACTGCTCGGTATTCTACTGGCTCCATTGTCACACCCTACTCGATCATAACACCTGTAAAAGTGGTAAGATTAATAGTTCGGTGCTGCAAATTCAGACATAACCCATAGATACATGTATCATTACACATGTGAAATTTCAACCAAATATGATAACCCTAAGTGGTTTAGGGGAAATCTTTAATGAACACCCCTCGTACCAAAGGATTCAGAGCACAGCAGTTATATCGTGATGTTATTAAAATCATTGAGACAAGTCATTAAGTCAAATGACCACAATTTTACAGACACAAATAGATGAACTTAAATTTCCGGAGTATGATATTGCACAAGGACTAGTGTGAACAACATTAATTTCTAACTCTGCAACTGCACATGTGGAGAGTTCAAAATCAACATAAATTCTCTGGTCAGGGACTAGTAAAATTCAGGAAAAACTACCGAGGTAATAACATTTCTTTGTGGACAACCACTTTTAACAGTAGCATGTGATTAGCTCAGATCAATATGTAAAAGTGGCATTTAGAAGCTGTAGGAAAAACATGGTTTTTATTTTTCAATGATGCTACAAAAACTAATATCTATATTGATTATTGAACCATAGAATAAGCAGTTTCATTAACTGCTATCATCACTGGAAAAAGGCACTGTAATAATGGTAATACATCAAATAGAGATGAGAATATTGAAAATATACTTCCTTTGAAACAAGATGTTTGTATGCATTCCTAAAACAATCATTAATTGTTGTCTCCCTATAAGCATTTGTTACGAATGATAAGAAACTGCCAAGCAATCAGAAACATGATGGTGAACATTCCTGAACAGGCTGAGAACAAACTGACATAACTTTATCATGGATATCCAATCATGAAGATAGGCACTGATAGGCAGTTGGTGAGTTGGATTTAACACAGATTTGAACAGTATTATCACACTGCATTGAATAATGTGGGAAGAAAGTGACTTAGACACATGAATGTCAAAAGCATGGTGATGACATACTAAGGATCAGCATGATCATAACTGGGTGAGTGAGTATGGTCTTACGTCGCTTTTAGCAATATTCCAACAATATCACGGCAGGGGACACCAGAAATGGGTTTCTCTGATCGTACCCATGTCAGGGATCGAACCCGGGTCTTCGGCGTGACAAGCGAACGCTTTAACCACTAGACTACCAGACTGCCCCGATCATAACTGGGACAAATATGAGATTGGAAACCATGATCACAGATCCTGACCTCTAAGGGACACAAGTCTGCACAAACAGTTATACTGTCTTGAAGTGAGTGATCATTGCTTTACGTGATGAGACGCAATCAGCCAAGAGTCAGAACCCTGACCACTTGCCTGACTACTCACCATTTACGTCAGCTCTTGAGCGGTAGTCACCATTGGTAAGAATCCAACTAGTACGCATCTCACTAATGACTTGTGATTTGTGTAAAGTAACTAGACCTAGGGAGAACACAACTGTCCCCCAAGATTTGCACTTTTCTCCGACAAACAGATTAGTAGCCATGTTTAACCTGCTCCTGTGACAAGCCTAAGGTACTGGGGACAATGCCTTAGACAACTGGACCACTCATACCATGAAAAGTATGAGCAGATAATAATGTCATGATATTCCAGTTTTATTACCTAATAAACAGTGATAAAACACAAACATGGATAGAAGAAATATTTACAATAATCAATTTTATTTCTTGTTACACCTATTTCATGATTTCGAGAGGAGGTAGCTTAGGAATTAGGTTGTCTTTTTCATACATGAATATAAGAAAATGTGATATATTTCTCATATGGATCATTTCATCTTATTCAAAATCAACATTACTGTAGATTCTTACTCAATTAAATTTTAAGATTTGAAAACATCAGAAACAAAACAGAGCTGCATTTAATTGGTCTATCAAGGCTTATAAGGATAATGATTTGGGACCACTTACAATGAGGAGGTTTCTACAAGCCCTTAAATCTTGTGCAATTGAATTTGAACTGTCAGTGTCCAAAATTAAGCATGAAAGGCGAGGGGTCCTTTTCATAAGCCTAATAATGAAAGTACAAAATTTAGGGGTCCCTAGATTCAAAAACTGTAGGAGCACCTAAAGGACACCAGAATGCCCCTTAATTCGAACACTGACAGTGGATTGTCGAGCTACATCTTCATAGCCTTGCCCTCGGAAGTATGGCGCTTACAGCAGGCTGTTAGCTACACCATGACAGACAGTTGGGAAATGGCACAAAGCCAGGAATTAATAAAATACACAGTACAGAGATTTCTTCACTGAAACTCATGACACTAGGTCAGGTGCAATTGGCATGATTTGGAAAATCCTGGCCGCCAGTGTCAGATCAAACTAAGAGCCTAGAATTCAATTTGGCCATGTATGATGACATTAAACCTGGTCACTGTCCTAGTACATATTAGTTTGTAATCGGTCTGTGAAACATGCTGAGTGCATCAGTCTACATAGTAAAACGACCTATGCCCACCAGTCAAAACATGACATAATCAATACAACAAATTAATATACTTAACATCTTATGCTAAAAATATTAACATAATCAAACAACAGTTTCTGAAAAAGGCTTACACTAGACATAAAACAAACAGTATGATGAATAAACAATTAAACATGGGCAACTGATCAACATTATGACAAATAAAAGTAACAGAGAAGATTACTCAGATAAATTTGATTTCAGACAAATATGGAACTGTTATTTGTTTATACCAGTCTGATAAACAATAAGATGCCTCAGAAGAAATTACAAAGGCAATTATGAGACACAACAACTGTTATTTCAATGTTGAGGTTTCAAACGTAGATTCAGTACCTGTAAACTTCATTTTAAACCGAATGAGATAAATCATCAAAGTCTTCACAGTGCACCATTATTTACGGTATGGTGTAACAATATGTTTACAGGCTAAGTGGAACAAAAACAAGCATTCCCTACATCTGTACATATCATATTAAAAATAGAGTTTGAATGCAAGCTGCATTATAATGAGACATCTATAGGCTGTACACTAACATCAACAATGATGAATAAGATTATGTCATGCTTCGGTTCACCATAGGACTTTAACAATAGAAACAGAAAGGGAATTAACTTTTTGACATTTCTTCTTTCAAATGTAGGGCAACATTGATTATGATTAACATGACAAATAGTGATTATGTAATCTTTGTTTTTTTAACTTGTTACAAGACATTAAAAAATAACCTTCAACGATTTAACAAAGCACATGGACTAGATAAAGCACAAAAGTAACCAAATATGATATCATATCAATATTTTACTCAATTCATATTTTCTCAGCTATTGATTTTGATTAAATTAAGAACCCAATCCATCAGTAATAAATAACACGTCAGTTACAAAGAATATATCTACATGTACTCATGTCTTAATACCTGCCAAACATGCCAGCTGTGCTGGGCCTAATTTATTTTATGGGGACGAATTGATTTAATCAATAGACAATCCTAGCAATTTACATACTTAACCTATCATAAAACAGCCGCGATCGACATAAACTAACAAATTAGACGATCTGTATCGACAACATCTATTACGCTCTGGGGTTAAAAATAACGTGGAACTGATGAGTGAACTGTCAAATCACTAGGCCCTAGACCTAACAAAAACAAACCTGCAATATTTCCCTGTCAAGAGTTTCATGATAAACATCTTCTGCCATTTTCGATTCAAAAATATCTATACAAACATCATGATTTGGATTTCCTTACCTACACACAATCTTACTGTCTGACATAATCATAGTCTATTATCAACAAATCGGCTCAAGCTCATTCACAAGTCAAGTCTGCGACATTGTTCCGACGAAACTTACCATCTCGCATGGGGACTTTAGCAGATGGACTGCGACTGTCCGCAGCCATTTCTAATTTTCTTGAATTTAGTAGTTATCCAACTGTCGAGATTTTAACCCATAACTTGCAGCAATAACGCAGAAATAGGTCATGTCGTTCGGTTCTATATTTGAGTCATCAACATTCTTCTTGAAAGAGCAGCCATTTTTAACTACTAAGGGACGTAACTCGTATTATGCTTTGGATTCAGACAGACATCCGCCGAACGAAGTCAGCCATTCAAAAAGTTAGGTTCAAATGAGCATGCATCACATAAATTATTCAAGGTACAAATATTGCATACAGAGTTGTATTTGCTCGTTATTGCTATAGCATGTAGCACATATATTCAAAATGAATGACAAGTGTAGTTATATGATGGACGCTTTCTATTTAACATCCATGATTTCAATTTAACAAAATTATGAGTGAAAATGGGCATCTTCACAAAGAATTTTACAATATTGTCACAGTGTTCAGTGAGAACTATATATATAAAACATAATTTCACCTATATACATGCATGTCCTTAAGGGTAATGTGTGTGTGTGCGTGCGTGTGTGCGTGCGCGCGAGGATGCGTGTATGCGTGCATGTTACAAAACAAATTTCTAAAGTTTTCGGACTATCTTCTATCATATTTGTCTTAATAAATGTTTGCTTGTAAAGGTTTAAATATCTTCCAAAAATTAAACCGAAAGTAAAACTAAACGATATGACTATAGAGGAAAACGAATACAAGAGGGGTATGTATGTAGCCTATATCGGTCATTGGTGGATCTTTCCAAGGATCAGCGCAATGTCAGGCAACGTGATAGAGCTGAACGATTGATGACTGTTCGCAATAAAATCCGATTCCTTCATTCGATACATAAAAGTAAATCCACGTTGTAAATCAATGCCAGTCAACGACCTGTGTCAGCCACCATTGTCGTGGTTTCAATACACACGGGAGCACATGGTTGGTTGGTTTGTTGTTAACGACGCACTCAGCAATATTCCAGCTATATAACGGCGGTCTGTAAATAACCAGTGATTGATATCATGATCATCGTTCCACGCGATCATGTTGGTCGCCTCTTGTAACGACAAGCATGGGAGCACATGTATATATATATATATATATATATATATATATATATATATATATATATATATATATATATATATAACATATTATATATATATTTTAATGATAACCTTGTTCCATGTGCTCCCATGCTTGTCGTTATGCATGCACATGTGTGTGTGAGAGAGAGAGGGAGAGAGAGAGAAAGAGAGAGAGAGAGAGAGAGAGAGAGAGAGATAGTGCTAGCCCATTGAGATATAATCATCAGTCTAACATGCATGAATACCCCACTCAGACACAGTATAATGACCCCGAGCCGACCTGTCCTTGTTTTATCCCCTTAATGCCGAGCGCCAGCCAGGGTAACAACAAGTACAATCTTTTAACGTCTTTTGGTATGACGTGGCCGGGGATCGATCCCCGGACCTGACGCTCTCCAGGCGGACGCTCTATCACTAGACCACGAAGGCGGTCAGGATCAGGTCTAGACAGTTATAGAAAACAAATGCAATGTAGCTTTATTATCCGTCTACTACATGGTTTGAGTAAGGGTTGGTGACTGAAAATAACTAGTCCTCCGGCTTTGAGTGTGTGAATTGAGTTTAACGCCTCTTGCTGTATTTTAGTTATAATATAACAACATGCAGGTCAGATTTAATATAATATATGTTTATTTGTTTAACGCCGCACGTAGCAATATTTCAGCTGTGTGGCGGCGGTCTGTAAAATAATCGAGTCTGGACCAGACAATCCAGTTATTGATATCATGAGCATCGATCCACACAATTGGGATACGATGACATGTATCAACCAAGTCAGCGAGCCTGACCACCCGATCCCGTTAGTCGCCTCTTGCGACAAGCATAATCGCCTTTCACGGCAAGCTTGGGTTGCTGAAGACCTATTCTATACCCCGGATCTTCACGGGTCATATATAATATAGTAATATAGTTCGGTGAAACAGAGCAAGCAGGGCTCTGGGGCTGACAAACCAGGGTTTATAATAACGGCGAATATGGGATTCGAACTCATGATCAACACGTCTCAGATTCAGAGACACATATGTGCACGATGCATATATTAGGGTGCCTAATACCATGCACTGGGACACTCGTGTCCTCTCAGCTTCGACCTGTTTGCGATTGTATATCCGCATATCCCGATGGCATAAGTCGATGCTCTCACTATCGACCACTCATTGACTGTCCTTCGTGGGATATGAAAATATAATGTTAAATGGGAGCCTACTGTAAGTTTTTATCTATCTCGACGGCTCATGAAATCCATTCGATTCTGGAACAGCTGTAACAGACAAACTACGTGTCAACAATAGCAGCATCAATTCACGTTGGTACACAACCGCCAGATCTTAAGATGCTTAAGTTGTTAAATGGGGAATTCTGCAACAACGATGTGATATATATATTGTTGTCATTCGGCAGTCTCGATGCCGGATTTACTCTGCGGGGAGCCGTCCATTATAAACATATAACATCTGTTGTGTGATATTGGACACCATGTTACGATTAGGCGCTAATTGCAGCAGCTAATTTGACTGGCATTCCTACGACACGATCAATGATGTATCATCTAGTTTATGAATCAGGCTCGTGTTAATTTTTGTCAGTTTCAAGGCAGGTACAATGACTGAGAATTGTGCAGTGTGCCCGATTTTGGGTTTACACCACTTCATGTCTTGTGACGTTCTTCATGCATGGAGGGACGGTCAAAGTTGTAAGTTACCATTTCGGTGGTTTCCTGTTTTGCAATATAACACACACATCACACAAATGAGGTGAGGCGACGAGATCGGACAGTAAATCAGGGAAAAAAGTTACAGCTAATAATTAAACATTGCAAGAGAATGTTCATGGCAAGTATATGTTTGTTCGTTGTTCAACACCGCACAAGAGCCTGCATGGTCCAACATTCCAGCGACTGATGTTATGAGCCACGATCCACGTCTTTGGGGCACGATGACACCCAATGGAAAAGTCCCCAAAATTTGCGACCCGATCAATTACGTCGCCTGTCATATTCTACCCATATTCTAAATACGACAGAGGGAGGAATAATCTTCACAAATGGTCAATAATTAACACATCTGCGACTGGAGTATACATCATCACCTATTAGTGAGGACTGCTTGCATATAGGTATAACATGCACGTCTATAATAAAGTTTTGTATACACACGTTTGGTAACCTAAATAACATTTGATGGTGTAACAATTGCTTGTTTGCGAAACAGCTTAATTGTGGTTTATTTGCGAAATCCGTTCTATCTGAAGCGCTCGTAAAATATCAAACATCATCTTCGTCGTCAAGGTTTCGTTTTAAATAATTAATCAGTTTCAATTAATTAAAGACAATAATAGCTCAGATTTTTACTTGTCTGTCATCTGCAACTTATATTTGAGTGTTTCATGATACACCATGTGAAAGAAATATAGTTGAAGTGATTTGTGCATGCGATGTTTTAATTACGATCACATCACATTCAATCTATAATTATGCCATGTTTGTTTGTTGTTTAACTCCGTACTCATCAATATTCAAGCTATATGGCGGTGGTCTGTAAATAAAAGGGTTTAGACCAGACAATCCAGTGATTTTATATAATTAATGTTGATGATATAATAGAAATGTAAAAAAATATGCATATCTTCGGAAACTGTTAATATTATAATTAATTAAAAGTCGGTATCCGGTCCTTCATTAAAATAAAGTAAACAATAATAGTGTTGTGGCTTAGGAAAGGATTTTCAGTTGCGCTACGTTATCGTCACAACAAAATATTATTTTAATGATATATGTCTATTATCAGAGCTGTATATGAACCCCATATAAATAGTGTCGCTGTGTGGGTTCCGGTCTTTGTTTAATTGATATATTACTGCAGTAGTGATTTCGCAAAAAATATAACAAACCAAAGGGACAGCGGCGAGACATTTCCTGTTGATATCTAAAAATGTTTGAAATAACTGATCATAGCTGGACGTGGTAACTGAAAACAAAACAATGATGGCCCTATAATGATAGTTTTCGTGACTTGGATTATTTTAGAAATTGTATCTAAATAAGTGCTGAATCCATAACGTCATGGTGGAATTAACACAAAACCGTTGAAACAATGAAAAATAATGATACAACACGCAACAATGACAAATATGTGAAACACGAGTTTGTAATCGAAGTCCTCCGTGGGACACCGGCGCTTCGCCAATCAAAAGCCTCATTACAAACATTCACGTCACGTGACTACAGGTGTTTGCTGGCTTGCAACACTCAGGTGAGACATCAATGTTTTTGTTTTCATCTTGCATCGTAATTTAACCCAGTATCGTAAGATCTGGACTTGCATGTACTTGTGTATTGTGGCTACATATCGAAACGGTTTCGTAGTCGCATGTTTTAAATGTGGACAACTTTGCGTCTGTGAAAGTTTGTGACCGAGTCGGGATGGCGGTAAGGTTTTCAGGTTATGGCGTCGGTGGTTTCCTGTTCATCGTTATTATTTCTGGGTGACTTGAGATTGATTTGGCTAATTAGCTTGTGCATGAATAACTTCTCCGTCGTATTCGTGCGCCCGTTGAGGCAGTGGAATATATGTCATTGGTACTTTACAGCGCCTGTGTTCGTAGATAGCCATGCGGAAGTGATCGAGTTCTCGGAAGCGGAATGTTAGGGTAACGCTACGAAAATAGACTGTCACTTGTTTTCGAGGTACACAAAAGCGTTAATAATTAATCGATGTAATCACGGTGCAACAGTGGCGTTATACAAGACCTTACGTAATGCATGTGGTTTCTCAGTTCACAAAAAACATTCACTGATAGAATTGTGCCAATCGAACAGTGCCCGTTTCAGTGTCTGGGTCTGTATAGAGGGCGAAGATCAACGTGCATGGAGTGAAACTTTTGAAAAAAAATAATATAAAAATAACTTTATACTTTCAAACTTATCTACACCAGTAGATCTAGTTCATTAAATCAAGTTACATTTCTATTTGCATGATTTGTGTAACACGTGTAATGTATGTTTATGCTGTTTCCCCGGCAGTTTTTATCATGTGCATTTCCACATTTATTTTGATCATGCGAAATTTTGTTGTAATAATCTTACTTAGGTGCTGCAATGTATTATTTCATTATAATGAAATTTTGGAATTACAAGTATATTAAAAAATGATATGACGTTGAATATGAATGTGAGCATCTAGATGAATCATCAATTAAGTACATGCATTAATTGGGAATTTTATAAGCGTGCGAAGCACGCGCAATGAAATTGTAATTTTATGAGTAAACTGAAATAAGGTCTAAATGCGATTATCCCTGGCTTCCGGCGGAAGTCACAAGCCTTTTAAAGTCACGTGAGAAAAAACGAGATCTCGTCCTTGATTCTCTGAGCGAAGAAGAAAAGACAAGAATATTAAGTGTGATAACAGTTTACTCAACCAAAAATAGGTACTGGAACAGAACCTGCTGAGTCAACAAAAACCGAACGTCTTGGAATGTCTGTGCCATAGGCTCAAGTATCAGTTTCTGCACCAGTAATCGAAGACCACAAAGTCAACTTGTAACCATGTCTTGAACACCTCAGTGGTCCAATCCACCCAACACACAGGTACCATGATCCCACTTCATAGAACCAATCCAACTAGAACTGCAACAAACACCAAAAGTGGATCCTTCTTTCTCCATAGTCTGCAAACTCTTCTAACTGCAAACAAAACAAAAAACACTCATGAGTTTGTGGTTTCACTAAATAAGCTCTTCACATATAAATTGAGACTCCACCATTAATCATTTGATAATATGATCCAGATCAAAATCTTTCACTAAAGATGTAAGTTGAATCCATTCAAGTACCTAATGTATAATCACTAGGGTGGAGAGGGAGGGATTTAGACCTTATTTCAGTTTACTCATAAAATTACAATTTCATTGCGAGTGCTTCGCACGCTTATAAAATTCCCAATTTTATTTCGTAAACTGAAATAAGGTCTAAATGCGATTGTTTAAAGTTCTGATCCCTAATAAATCTGTATCCTAACAGTTTTGCATTGTAATATCATCTGATTCATTTAGTTTAGAACAATGTTTGCAAATTTCTCATTGGTGGTTTTTTGAATGCCTTTTTCGTAATATCTATGAAAGGTTTTAGCTTTTGACCAGTCTGCACATTTGATAATTTCAGCAACTGACATCCCAAAGTTTCTGGCTTTGGAAGTAGCCGCTGATCTAGTTGAATGAGCCTGGAATTTCTTGGTATCAATCCCTGCCTGTTCCATCAGCTGTTTCAGCCAATTAGAAACAGTTGATGTGACAACTGGTCTATGTGGCTTGGAACATCCCAAGAACAATTGATGTTCCTGCTCTGAAGATACTCTCCAGCACTTAGTTCTGTGTAGATAAGCTCTAATTGCTGATGTGGGGTCAAGTTCAGGTATGTCAGATGCATAAACGGTCACTTTGCTTGGACAAGACCCCACCTTCCGTGTTTTTGTCAATCTAGTAATAACAAATTCAATGTGGTCTCCAAAATCTGAAACATTGTTAGGATCTAATTTGTGCAACTCAGAAGCCCTACTCGCGTTCGTCAATGCTAACAACATCGCCGTCTTTTGTGTAAGGATCTTATCAGGTAAGTCACTGTTTGGGCCTAAACTTTTGATGTACTCTGTCACTGTGTCAACGTCCCAAGTTTCGGTATACTTAGGCTGGGGAGGCCTTTCATTGAATATTGCTCTCATTGTGTTCTTAATTTCTTTCGTTTGACCTACCGGTTCTCCCTGCACATGGGGATGAACCGCTGAAATAGCTGATCTTATTGCATTGATTGTGCTGTAAGAATAGCCTGATTCATACAGATGAGTGAGAAAGTTAATCACATTTGCCACAGAGGCTTGAAATGGATCAATTTCCCACCCCATGCACCAACTACGCCATTTCTGCCAGGAGCTGTTGTAAGAGTTCCTGGTGCCTGGGCGCCTGGATTTGGAGAGTAACTCGGAAGCCGATTCAGAAATGCCTTCTGGCTGGTTACAACTCCCGAGATTCTCCAGGCTGCAAGGGTAAGAGACCCTTGTTCCATCAGGGGGTGGGTCTCCCCTGCTGGAGACGACAACATCTGTGGGTCTGGAGGGAGGAGGATTGGCTCCTCTGTTAACAAGCTCATCAGAATAGAGAACCACGGTTGGCTTTGCCATGTGGGAGCTATTAATATGAGTTCTGATTTCTCCTTTTTTACCTTCATTAGGCAACGGCCTATTAATCTGAATGGGGGAAATGCATACGGTTTCATGTCCTTCCATTCCATAAGGAAGGCGTCCGTCTGCCATGCTGTCGGATCTGGCCGCCAGCTGACATACCTGTCCACCTGTCTGTTCAGTCTGTCGGCAAACAGATCCACATTTATTGGTCCCCAAATTTTGTTTATTTGCTTGAAATAAACTGTTTTCAGTTTCCAATTGCTGGAGTCTGAGTGGTGTCTCGACTCCCAATCTGCCTCCACATTGTCCTTCCCGGGAAGGTATTCGGCCGATATAATGTTCTTTCTCTCGAGGCAGAAATCCCAGATCATTTGGGCTACCGTCAACAAGTCCCTGGACTTCGTTCCCCCTTTCTTGTTGAGGTATGCCACTGCTGATCGGTTGTCCATCCTTAGATGGATGTGTACATCTGTTCTGCTCTTGGCAAAAGTCTGAATGGATAACCAAGCAGCAATAAGCTCCAGGACATTGATGTGGTGTTTTCTCTCGGAGAGACTCCACACTCCACCTGTCCGAACTTTCCCATACACTGCTCCCCACCCCATTTTCGAGGCATCTGTAGTTATGACTATATCTGGCCCTGTCGAGAGAAAAGATTTGCCGTTCCAATCGGCGAGATGATGTATCCACCATCTCAATTCCTGTTTGGACTCTACTGTCAAAGTCACTTTCGTCTCGTAGTTTTGTTTTGGTAGGAGAGCGTTCGTTCTCAGCATTTGTAAATGTCGATAGTGTAGTGGTGCTGGTAGCACCGCCATCATTGAGGCAGTTAGTTTGCCTATCAATGTCGCTAGTTGTCGTACAGTTGTGTTGGAACAAGTCAACATCATTTCGCACTGTCGAAGAATGCCAGTCACTTTGTCCTGTGGCAGTGCCAACGTCATGTCTATCGAGTTGACAGTGAAACCCAAGTACTCTATTATCTGACATGGTTCTAGGACTGACTTCTTCCAATTCACCACAAAGCCTAGTTTCTCTAGAATTTCTAGGGTCGAATCCCTGTCTATCCTCAATGCATCTTTCTGGGGATTGGCCAAAATCAAGTCGTCTAGATAAATTTGGGCTCGGATTCCTATTCTGCGTAAGAAAGAAATCACTGGTTTCAAAAGCTTCGTGAATACCCTCGGTGCTGAAGCAAGTCCGAAGGGTAGGCACTGAAACTCGTACAGTTTGTTTTGCCAGCGGAACCTTAGGTATTTCTTGTGCTCGTTGCACACTGGGACACAAAAATAGGCATCTTTGAGATCTATTTTGATCATATAGTCCTGTTTGTTTACCAGCTCTGTCAGTGTCACTATTCCTTCCATTTGGAAGTGTTGGTAAGCAACACAACAGTTTAGTTTCTTTGCATTGAATACCGGTCTGTGACCCCCTGTTTTCTTTGGGGTCACAAACACTGTGCTCACGAATTGGTTTCGTACTGGAGAAACCCACTGCACTGCCCCTTTCTCTAACATTTTTGTTACCTCTGCAGACATAATGTCCATTTCTGATTTTTGCATCTTTAGTTCTGTTGGTTCTGATTTTTGCTGAGGAATTTGATTGAATTCTATTCTGTACCCCTGAACAATGTTTAGAATGTAACGATCCTTTGTCAACTTTTGCCAATTTTTTATGAAGTGTTTTAATCTCCCCCCTAGTTTGGGATCTTCCTGAATGACCTGAAAGTCTAGGTCCTGTAACTGACTGTGCAGTGTGTTTCCCTTTTGATATTGTGAAACATACATACCTTCCTCTGGAAAACCCTCTGCCACTGCCGTCTCGCTTTCTGGTCGAGTTGGTGAAACGCACCTTCTGGAAAGAGTTGGTACTGTACCGGCCCCCACCTCTGTAACCCTGGTAACTTGATGAGGGCCCTCTGTGAAAGGGTCGACTGTTTCCTCTGCTAAACCCTCTAGTAGAGCTCTTGAAGCCATATTGGCTCTTGTTTTTGTAGTCTGAAAACTGTCTCTCAATGTCCAATCTCTTCTTTCTGTCCGTGGACAGCTTTAACAATTTCTTGTAAAAACCTTTGC